AGGGGTTTTGCAGAAAAATGCATTGTGCTCCTAGCCGCTGGCGTTGCACTGCACTATTTTTCCAGTGCAGTGTATGGCGCCATTTGCATCGGTCTAGCACTTTTGTCCTCCGCCTCATTGGTGGAGTACCTAGGCCAATCAGATTGATTCTCCCGTCTTGATCAAGACTTTCTGGTTTTTCCACGAGGTTTTGGTCTGGTTTTCTGTGCAGATCTATGGTCCATAATTTTAGTGTCTTCTGGATTTCAGCGCTTGAAAAAACGGATCATCGTTTCTGTTTCCCGCTTCTTAAATTCACATTCTTTTTCTTTTTTGCTTGAGCCAGCAAGTGATCGCTGTTCGACCAAAACAGGTGGACTTCGTGACAATAGATGGCGTCCTTTACCAGCTGATTCGTGTCCACGTGGTAAACACGTTGACGTCACTGACTTTTATCGCAGACAGTAGTGGTCCCTAAACGGGACCATGAGGAACACCAATGGAGACCATCCCCGGATAAGAGTAGGTCGAGCCTTCTTACATTTGGAATGTTCTGTCTGAAAGGAACGCCTTAATCCATTATAGAATTTTCCCTTGATTCTTGTAAGACTCGAGCTTGTGGAGCAGCGGAACGTGTGGAACTTGATCGAGTGTTTTGAGAAGTCGAAAAATAAAGCACTCGATATGTGTTCATCGTCACTGGCATTGATTAGTCTTCCATAAATACGAGCATATTCGTCAGGCAAGAACGGTTTGAAAGATGATAAGTGATTAATAATGATAAATGGATATATCAAGTTTTCGGAAGTGAAGTAACCTAGGATGGCTCGTTCAGAATGCGTTCCATCACCCTGCAAGGTAGGCTAATGATAGATTATCACGCCCATAAAAATGATCTCCATTGATTATCTGGACCGATAAAGTTCAACGTCTTCAGTTATACTCGAAAAACACCTGCAGCACATTTATTAGTCGGCAGAACCTGTCACTAGTCACTGGGATGGTGCAAACTACTTCCAACACGAGACGGCGAACTTGGTCGTGGCCTGCCTGAATTATTGAGGCGGACGTTCCGTCGACTTGAAAGTAGTTGACTTTAAGTTCATGCTATATCTTGGGAGCAGAATGGCTCATTGTTGGACGGGAATTCCCCATATCGGGCTAAAATAGAGGGAAGTGGTTGTGACTGGTCAGTAGCATTAACTGACTGCCGTAGAGCATTTTATGGATATTTCCGGAGGCGGACACGACCATCTAGTACTCCTTTTTATCAAAATGCAACTGGGCTCGGCCAGGTGTGCGATGAACTCGTTGTTACTGTCACAGAACATGTGTGGGACCACCTCGCTAATAACATTATTCACAGCCTCCGATGATGAAACCAGTTCTAGTGACGTATAGCAGTGCCTGAGAACTTACCCGAAGCTCATCCTCAAATTGATAGATTTCAATGCTCCCTGGCAATCTAGCCACTTCTGTTTGTGATGGTCGATTTAGTGCATGGCCGGAATGAACAAACAAATGGACCAAGGAACGATCCCATGTATATGGCAGCAACATCGGAGGTTGGCGATGTCATAACACCGAACACTAGCCCACCATATGGGAGAAAACAGTGGGGTAATAATGATCAATATTTCGCAAGGTTTCCTTGCAATTTTGACTTGCTTTCAGCCAAATTATTCAGTGAAAAAGTTTGCCACTACCCAGTTTTGCGAAGTCTATTGAGAGAAGTAGAGGCTACTGAAGTGTGCGAAGTAGGGCAATAAGATTGACTGCACGTGAGTTGATGTTTACATAAGCCCTTTCATTTCTACGATCGGTACACAAAATGTCGTGTCGGTGGACAGCAGGGAACACTATCTTTCCGTAGTGCTCCCAGTTCCTGGTCGAAATCGGATGGAGCCACATAATCCGCCGGAATTTTCGGTCAAAAGCTAGCCGGGCATTGGAGAGGGTGAACAGCTTGTCCTTAGCTTTTGTGCACTTTCCGAATCTTATTTGGGGTGCGGGAGCATGGTGTAGTTAGATACCTTTGATTAGGCACCTCAATACTTCAGTTTTTATAAGGTAAACTCCAGTGGTTTGTGTGCGAGATTACAGATTGCACGGCTCCTAAAATTCCTGTCTATCGATCCAATATAGACCTGCAAAACCGAGCTTGGTAAAAGGAAACAGGGCTGTCGAACCGTTGAATGTTAGGGAATTATTGATCATGCCAGTCAGTTCCAGGTTATCATCAAATAATTCGCCCACCCAACGTTCAGACGGCTGTTTGAGGTTGGCCAAATTGTTTATACCATCGTTCACTTAGCAGATTGACCTCACAACACGTATCGTTCCACAAACGAACCAGCATTCTGTCAATAAAAAGCCTTCAGCTGTAGCACCCTTTCGGTGCCTAGCTGCCATGCCACCCGAAGGGAGCACGAGGGCTGGGATACTGCCAGTTTGCCCAAGCCTAGACAGGGGAAGTCGAGTGGCGGAGGTCGGACTCGAACCACGGACCTTCCGGTCAGTAAATTCGCGCTCTAACCACTTGGGCCATCTCGCCCCAATACGGACGGTCACAAACGGCCTGTGGTGGGCGAAAACAAATTTCGATATCGCTATCATCGAGATAGCAAACGAATTATTGGCCCGACGTGGGTGTAGTGGTGTTTCGGCTTTCGAGACCAATTTAATTGTCCTTTATGGTCAACTGGTAGTTGAACTCCCCATGAAGCAGTGATAGCAAGGGAAATGCCGCTCAATGCAGTGTCACCAAACTATGCATAGTTTGCGCATTGAATAGTATTGTAATGTACACCAGACTATGTTGTCGTAGCTAACATGTTGTCGTACCTAACCACCCGGCCATATCCGTGTCGTGTGTGAAGTTGAGATGCTATCGTTCGGTGATGAGGCTCTGTAGCTTCATAAACGCTCGCCGCTCAAGAACGTGAAAACTGGACTCCAGTGTCTGCATCATACGATAAATGTGGATCAGTCACAGAAATAAACCGCCTGACATCGTTTAGGCTCCAGATTGGTAGCACAACAAACCCAGCAAGGTCGCGGGTTTCCCTGTGAAGCTGACGACAGATAGTTGGAAGCAAAGTGGGATTTCCTGTATGAATTTCCATCCATCGCATAACTTATGAAAGCATAGGAGCCGACCACTCTGTCATGCATGGTGATATTGTACCAGAGTACATTATGAGGATGAATGCCGAAAAAGTACTTCGGTATCCGGCTTTATTCGAACAATCCGTATCAATGCACCACGTAAAACCGGCTCAACTGTCACTAGGCGTTCTACGGATGATTCGACGAACCGTCTCCACTGTTGTTTGCGTGGACTTCTGGATACTCTATGGGACTCCACGTCAGGCAACTTCTCGAATATGCCAACCAAGTTATCTGCTCAGGATACAAGAAATACGCAACCGTCAATGACGGTGTCCAACTAGCTGCTACGAAAATAGTTGCCGGCCTCCAGTCCGTTTATTACAGAAGGCGTATCGTGGTGCCTGACCTCTTCATCCAGGAGTATCTTCGCCCCCGAGAAGACCTATTACTTACTTGTGTCTTGTCTAAATGAGGTTCGGCCAACAGTGTTTTCGCCGTTGACGCAACTAATACATTTCGGGGACGTGTTATGATTTTCAACTTCTGAATGCGCAAATTTATTGGGTAACTGTTGCGAAATATTCATGCTGAAACTTTGGGAGGTGCCAGGCTCAGTTGGTTTGTATCCAGCTCTCTTCAAAGAAGACGGAATTCTCTGTTTACCAGTCTGATAAAACCTATTGGTGCTGTGGTGTATAGAAAATATGTCTGCAGAATGGAGAATATCGATGATCATCTTTACCCTAAAAAATGTACACGAAAGCTAAAAACCCTCTTAACATGAGCCCAGTAGCTGTAGCTCTGACGGTGTTCTCTGATTTCATCCTTCGAAGGTTGACTGAACACACAGAACGAGGTAAATTCGTAAAACTCAAGGTAGGTTCCATCTTTCAAGGGGATACATCGACCACATTTTTTCCGACAGATGCTGAAACTGTGCCACTACTTTCAGCAATCAATAATTGTGATCGTTCTTCAGTTGAAAGCTACCTTTAACCATGTGGATCGTCAGTTACTGTGGCAGTACCTATGACACAAACGTGCTTCAGAAAATTCTTTATCCTTTATGCGCTGTACGCATGAAAGTCTGTGACTAGCTGTTGCCTGAGTTCACTATGTACAATGCTGTCGGGAAACATTTTCTATCTTGCATATTTTCTGTCCAATGTACGTGGATCGAAATACTTTCAGAGTATGCACTCACAAATGTGGTGTACGCAATTTATTCTCGAATTGGGCGCCATCGTAATACGGAAGATAGTAGATAAGCTAAGTAATTCTGCCTAACAATTCGGTACGCGCTTTATATTACAAGACTGGTCAGGTTCAAACCTCAACCTCATGTTTGCGGGTGAGCCGACTGAGGTAGCAGACAGGTTTGTATACCTGAGACTGGGCCTTACCGTGGTGTGGCGGTTTGAGACTGGGACCGTGGTGTGGCGGTTTGTGTACCTCGGAGACCCATTGAGCTATACTGCGGGGTGTCCGCGCGACACTCACAGAGTCTCTCTCTCA